CTTTGAGGGTGCTGCGGAAGGGGCAGGTCCTTAGGGCATGGGGCCAGCGTCCCCGTGTATGGAGGTCTCTGGCTCTGGTGAAGATGGGCTCCGCCAGGGATGGCTGAGCTCCATCCAGGTCCCTCAGACCCGGTCAAACTCCCCACCACGGCGCCTCTGGTTCACCCTCCTCATGAGGTACCCCCAGGCATGGCAACATCCCCACAGAGAAGCCCCAGGGGCTCCTCAGGACATCACACACACGACACAAGCCCCGTGGCAAAGCATTAACCTTTATCATCAGGTGAAACAAACCACACAGAAGCCCAAGCTGGATCAAGCCCATGTTGTGCCAGGTGCTGGAAGAGCCCAGGAGAACCTGGCCATGACAGAGCTCCCGCCACAGCAGGAGATCCCTGCTAATGCGCTCCAGGGCTGAGCCCTGGCTGGTCTCACACTGTGTCAGGCCCTCTAGTGCTCCATGGGGGACATTTGGGGTTGAAGAGGAGGTTGCTGCACCTCACAGCACACTGCAGTGCTGCTGGGCTTGCTGCAGCACACAAGAGGGTCCTTTTCCATTCCTCCTAGGGCTGCCACCTCCCTGTTGAATGATTCATGTCAGGCTTGCAAAGGGAAAAGCAAAAAGCTTTTGTTTTGTCGCTTCTAAAACCACTTGAAGGCAGGTGACAGGGAGCAGTAATAGTTGCCATTGTCTTCATCACAGACGGATGCAATGGTGAGGATGCAGGCGTTGCTGGCGACATCTTTGGTAGCAGAGAAGCGGTCGGGAGTCTTGGTTGGCCTGTGCTTCTCTCGCTCAGAGTTGTAATAGAGCAGATATGTCAAGGAGTGTCCCGGACGCTGCTGGAACCAGGAGATGCCGAACTCACTGATGTTGTACTGGGGGCTCAGGGTGCAGGACAGCCGAGCAGTCTGCCCAGGCAGCACCAACATGAAGGTTGGCTGGGTCAGTACAGGCTTAGCCCTGGAAGCTGCGCACCAAGGATGCAGTTATTGAGGGGCTGAGCCATGTCCCACATCACCCTTAGCGCCAAAGTGTCCCCCTGTCCCTTGAGGAAACCCCATTACCCAACCTCCATCCTCCCATCACATCACGGCGCACAGCTCTGGAGGAAAACACCCTGCTCAGACTAACATTCTCCTGTATAGCCCAGTCCTGCCACCACCCCACATGAGACAGCAGCTTGCTCAGCCACACCACC